AAATACACACTTTTAAAAAATATTTTCAGATTTATGTAGCACTTTATAGCTTTCATAGTAAACTTCAATAACTTGCAACTAAAACTTCTGCCTGATTAATAATTTGGTCATATACAATATAATTCTTCTGTCAAAAATTGTACTTTAATATTTAGGTTAAAGATTATGAGACAAATACTGTAAGTTGGTTTTAAAAAATCCAAGTATTCAATAGAAATGCAAAGTAGGATGGCATGTCTGAACTGCTTCTAACTTTTTCCCACAATAGTGAGTTAGGCAACATTCAAAACACTTCCTTATTTTAACTTTAAAATTTGAAATAACTTCTCTATATTGATAATAAGATTCTTTGTTTTCCGGGCAGGGAGTTCACACTACTATTTGACATGCATTTGGGATAAAGCAAGTGTCTAAACTGGCTGTTGAAACCATCATACCAAGAAATGCTCTATGGACCTAGTTTTTGTTCAAGTGATAACAACAAAAAAAATCACATGAGTAATATGCTACGTGTATTTGTGGCCAATTTCAGGGGCACCAGTGGCCCACTTCATTGTTTCCAACGCTGAAGGAGAAAGTTGAATCTTAAGATAATAATCTCACTTTAGATAATCCTAATACTGTTAGCTGCAGAGCAGACCAGATTGTTTACATTACACTGCTTCCTTCGAGTAGATTAGGGAAATTCCATATTGACTATTTCCTCCACGCTCTAGAAAACAGTATCGCACATTAAAACAACTGATTTCTTTCTGAGGCATAACACTATAATGAGTCATCCATTCGCTCAAATATTCAAGGATGACTCTTTTAAGTACTTACTATATGTAAGGTACGATACTATGCTTCATAAGAAAGAAAAAGAAAAAAAACCACAACTATATTGCTCCATTTATAAAGCTCTTGCCTGGCATGTGTGAGGCACTGCTTCAATTCCCAGTACCTCAGGGTTCTAGTTTTCTTCTTGTTGAAAAAAGACAAAAAAAAAAAAAAAAAAAACCAAAAAAACAAAACAAAAAAAAAAACACCAAACAGAAAAAATCTCAAATAGCAATTAGGGAGAAAAGGGTTCATTTGGCTTACACTTTCAGGCCACAATCCATCACTGAAGGAAGTCAGGGCAGGAACTCAAGGCAGGACCATGGAGCAGGAACCATGGAGGAATTCCGTTTGCTGGCTCACTCATGGGCTCATGGTCAACTGACTTTCTTATGCCTGGTAATGGTGCTGTCCACAGTGTGCTGGGCCTTCTGTTAATTACCAATAAAGATAATCCACAAGCCTTTACAGACATGCCCACAGGCCTACCTGATAAAGACAATTACGAACTCTTCCTTCCTTCCTTCCTTCCTTCCTTCCTTCCTTCCTTCCTTCCTTCCTTCCTTCCTTCTTTCCTTCCTTCCTTTCCTTCCTTCCTTCCTCCCCCCTCTTTCCCTCCCTCCCTTCTTTCTTTCCTTCCTTCCTTAGACAGAGTTTGTCTATGTAGCCATGGACGGTCTCAAATTCACAAGATCAGCTTGCCTGTGCTTTCAGAGTGCTGTGATTAAAGGTGTGTGCCACCACACTCAGACTCAATCGAGACTCTATTCAGGCGATTCTAGGCTGTGTCAAGTTGACAGTTAATGCTGTTTAGGACTCACAGTTTTTAAAAAGAATAGTGTGTAACTGGATATTTGCATGAACCCAATAATTAGCTATAGTTAATGGTTACAGACAATGAGTGCAAATTCCAATCACCATTACTGAATACTGTAATACAGTAGAGAAAGTAAAGATTTGGGTGTAGTGGGTAGCCATTCCAGCTTTGGTCTGGAAGTTCCAACCCCTATTGAAGCTTCGGTAACTATCACGCCTACAAGGCGGGGCCAAGGGAGGGCCCTGAAGACCCGAGATCGGGACGCACGGAGCTCTCAGTTCCTGGACCCTGGATGGTGGAGGTTGACCGAGCAGAGCTCCAGAAAACACCGCTGGACTGCGATACACCTTCCTCAGACCCTGCGACCTACCTATCCGTTCATTTGTAAGTTGCGCCACTAATAAAATTCCCTTTTAACTACGTGGAGTGGCCTTAATAATTTCACCAATATTTGGGTATTAGAACGGCATAGAGAAAAGCCAGCAGAGATGGGCAGGATTCATGTCATGAGAAATAATGGAGAAAGCACAGAGCAGGGAGCATTGCACAGACCATGACAATGCCAACTGTATAAAACACAGTAAACAGAGAATAGAACTTCAGAGTTCCTCAAAGGGAGGTCTGGGGGCCAGCAGCATGAGCACCCCCTAGCTTTACAATTACAAGACCAATGTGTGGTTCTGCTTGGCTCTCATCTTTGGGTACGTTAACGCATTAATGTCTGAGAAGTTACACCATCAGCTGATCCTTCAATTTAGAAAGGGTGGGACTGGAGAGATGGCCCAGTGGTTAAGAGTACTGGCTGATCTTCCAGAGGTCCTGAGTTCTATTTCCAGCAACCACTTTGTGGCTCACAACCATCTCTAGTTGGATGTGATGCTCTCTTCTGGCATAAAGGTGTACATGCAGATATCACTCATGCATAAAATAAGTAAATCTTTAGAAAAAAAAGTGTAACCTCAATTTAGAAAGGTGCTGGCTTCCCTTGGATAATAGAAAGCGTTTTTTAAAAGCCCAAATCAGACAGTGAATCCCCTGTCATGCAGGAGGATTTGAATCCTTGAATCCCATGTTAAGAAGTTTAAGCTTTCTTTTTCACTAATTAAACATTTATTATTGTTGTTATGTATGGTATACTCTCTCTGTGTGTGTATGTGTATGTGTGTGTGTGTGTGTGTGTGTGTGTGTAGGAGACAAGAAGTCAACATTGGTGTCTTCCTCTATCTATCTATCTCTAGCTATCTACATAGCCCTGGCTGTCCTGGACTCACAGAGATCCGCCTGCCTCTGTCTCCCAAGTGCTGGGATTAAAGACCTGTATCACCACTGCCCTATTTTATTTATTTATTTTTAGTATTTTATGACAAGGTTTCTCTGTGTAGCCTGGTGTACACTCCCCCTGCCTGGCTATTTTCTCTCTCTCTCTCTCTCTTTTTTTTTTTTAGCAACTTACTTATTTTATATACATTGGTGTTTTAGTACCCCTAGGATTGGAGTTACAATTGTGAGCTGCCACGTGGGTGCTGGGAATTGAACTCAGGTCCTCTGGAAGAACAGCTAATGCTCTTAATCGCTGAGCCATCTCTACAGCCCCCTCCTTATTTTCTTGAGATAGAGTCTCTCACAGAACCTGGAGTGTGTAGATGGGCTGCAAGCCCCGTGATCTTCCTGGGTCCTCCACAAGCACTCTTAGCCCCTGAGCCATCTCTCCAGCCTCTCAGGTTACCTTTTGCAGTGTGGTTTCTTGGGTCATGCTGGGCTCTTTGCATTGCATGTGTGTTCAGGGGTCATCTGTCAGACTGCTCTGTACTGACTGGTTAGTCCTGTGTGAGGACATATGGAGTACCCAGGGTCCGGGGGCTCAGCTAAGTCCGGCGTGGGATCTGAGGGAAAAAGTCTACGTACACCATGTTCTGACGTCTGTTAACTTTATTCCTCTAAGACAAAATTCTATCAATACAGGTATAGCTTCACCAGGCATTCAAGGCAGGAGTAACTCTAGACATACCAAGCTCTACATCGTCTACTTTATTTCTCTGGGATGAAATCCTGTCTCCATAGCTTCAGTTCCATCCAGCTCCCCAGCTCATAGTCCAGCTAACGACTAAACTCCTATGCTTTCAGTCTCATCTTCGTCCTCTGTATCCTCTTTCTCCATCTCTGCTGCTCTCTACTCCTGGCCCTCAGAAAACTCTACTCGAGTTCTGCTTACCCTCTATGGAACCTCTGTTGTCCTCTCTTCTCTCTCGCCATGATGTTCTGTCCCTGTCTACAGAAGATACCTGCCTTTTCTTTCCCTGGGCCCCTCCTTCCCTGCCTCCTCAGGAAAGTTGTTTTACCTCTCACCTTGATATGTAAAAACCTCTTTTGTTCTCAGGCAATTGCTCCAGAGAACCATTAGGTCCCCTCAAGGCGAGGGTATGGTCTGAGCTTCATTAGCACAAGAAACAAAGCTAGGCGTCTCCCATCTCCTGCCAGCTTGTCTCCTAAACCCAGCAGGGCAGTTAGTAACTTAGTAAGTTCAGCAGGTCAGGGGAGCTGAACTGTTTACCAATTGGTCTGGGCACGCAAGGATTTCATAGTAGAAGACAGCTGGAATACTAAAGGCTGGGTAACACCAAATATTCATAATAAATGGCTTGCCTTTTGACAGACCCTTGGCGGTCAAAGTTCAGCTTTAATACACAGCTGAATCTCTATGATATATTTTTGCAGCCCGCAAGAAGGACAGGCTAGTCTTGTGTGAGGATAGGCTAGTTCTGAGTGAAGATAGTCCTGTGTGAGACTAGGTTAGCCCTGTGTGAGGAGAGATTAGTAGTGAGTGAGGATAGGCTAGCCCTGTGTGAGGATAGGATAGTCCTGTGTGAGGATAGGCTAGCCCTGTGTGAGGATAGGATAGTCCTGTGTGAGGACAGACTAGTCCTGTGTGAGGACAGGCTAGTCCTGAGTGAGGATAGGATAGCCATGTGTGAGGATAGGCTAGTTGGTATGAGGTAGGAAAAGTGCTGTGGCTTGAGAAACAATTCCTCCTCCTCAATCCTACTCATAGAGTGTGGTCCCCAAAGCCATTTGCTAAAGGTAATAAACATAATACAAGGACAGCCATTTGAGCTGTTTGGCCTTTGATTCTGTGAATAATGCTGTTTAAGCATCTCTGCACGTGCCTCTTGGTGCACACACATGCATCTGTTGGGTATATGGCACCACTGGAGCCATATCAGGACCAGTTTAGCCTTTTGGAGAGAAGAAGACCCTATGAGCAAAGAGGTCAACTCAGCCAGCCAGCAAACCAGTTGAATACTGCTGCACAAAGTAGCCCCACACCAGACTATCGAAAGAGAAAGAACTGCTCGACTAATCCGGATGATTTGAATAAGTAACACTTTATTGTTGCTCTAATCTCTTGAATTTGTGCATGAATGTGTAGTGCTGGGGTGGGACCTGAGGCCTCAGGCATACTCGTCAAGTACTTTACCACTAATCTGTGTTCCCAGCCTTGGTTTTTGTTTTGTAGAGAGGGTCTCACCGTGTGGCCTTGGTTGGCCTAGAAACGACAATGTAAACAGGGTTGGCCTGAAGTTTACAGTGACACTCCTGCTTCTGTCAAGTGCTGGGACACACACACCATGGTGCCTAGACGGAAATACTAATTTCTAAAGTAACTGTTATACAACAATACTAGCTGGCACAGAAATCAGTAGCAGACATGGGTACATGAAAATTTAAAATGTGGCCTTGGCTTTTGAACACAGTGGGTGGGAGCTGGAAAAACAGGCTATTTTGGCTATTAGTGAAGGGTCACCAGGCTGGGAACAAATGTCATTGTTGCTGGCGGCTAGAGAAAGTGAACTGTGGCTGATAGCTGTGAAAAGGGCCAAAACCTTCCTGTAGCAATACGAACTTTGTGTCACATGGCTAATGGATTTGCAGAGCAAGCTGGGCTATTTCCAGGCGGGGTATTGAAAGAATCACTTTGCTTCTGGGAACTATAAGAAGTTGTAAGAGAGGAGAATGGTTGGGTCTGTGAGCAGAGAGCTGGCCAAGGACTGAAAAGATTAGAAAGCGAGACTTCAGTCCAAGTTTCTCCATCTGGCAAAATGGAAAAGCCAATGGTGTGCCTGTAGGACCTTTGATTAAGACCTCAGAAAGAAACTGTGTGGTGGTGCAAGCCTGTAATCCGAGCACCCAGGAAACTGGAGCAGGAACATTGCTGCGTGTTCAAGGCTATCCTGGGCTGAATTGAGATGTGGGCTGAACTTCAAGTCTTTGAAAAGTTACAAAGCTTTCAACAATGATATTGGTGCAAAAACAGGCAGAAGCCCAGGGGGGCAGGGGAAATTCTCCCCTCCATACCCCAGACCCTGCCACATCCTTAGGACAGAGTCGACACTGGTTCTTTGCAGCTCAGAATGAGGATGCACATCAAGCTGGAAGTCTGAAACTTTCCCAGATACTAAGAGAAAGGAAACCAGGAAGGCCTCCAGGCCCTTCACTTAGACCAGTGTGGTTTCGCAATCTGAGTCTTTCTGCAGGAACAAGAAGTCGACGGCCTCCCAGCGAAGAAAGGTTACAAAGTGGCTAGGTGCTGTTTCCCAGCATCTCTGTCAGAGTGGTGTGAAGAAGAGCTGGAAAGGATGGCTCCCTGTGCCGATGAGCTGGTGGGATCTGTAGGGGACCATTTGGGAGGCCAGCGAGAAATCAAGGAACAAACCCCATCTTACCCTTTGGAGAGGCCCTACAGAGGCCCCGGGGGTGGGGGGTACTGCTGTAAATACAGTGATCCCCAATGTCCTCTCTGAGAGGTGCTGTTGACTCCCCACATCCTGTTACCTTCAGCCTCCAGGGTTCCTGCCTCCCTTGTGTACAGTTGCTGGATGGTGGCGTCCGCTTCCTTCTGGGGAGCTGTACTGCTGCTGAAGCCCCATCATCACTGGTCTTCACTGAAGACCTTCTGGTTTCTGGGAGGAACACAAGCCTACATGCATGCGCAGATCTACTCCTGCTTCCTGCCACTGGCCCAGGAGACCTCGGCCTCTGGCAGCCACCATCAGCCTCTTAGGACCTCAAGATCCTCAGAGAAACAACAGAAACTCAATCGTTTTCTCTCTGAGGAACCACAGAAACTTAAAATGCTGTACCCACTGTGAAAACACATCTAATTTTAAAATTCAGTAAGTTATTATTGGATTATATCAGCTGAAAAAGATTTAATCGGCTGGGTGTGGTGGCTCATGCTTATAATCGCTGCATTGGGGAGCCGGGGCTGAGGGAGCAGGATCATCATGAGTTTGAAGCCAGCCTGGGCTACAGAGTGGGACTCTGGAAAAAAAAAGAAGAAAAATAGTTTCCTCCGAAGCTAGGCTATGTAATATGCACTATGCTATCCTAGCATTTAGAGAGTTGAAGCGGGAGGATCATAAGTTTAGTGTCAGCTTGGATCACACAGTAAGATTCTGTCCCAGTAAACGGATAAAATAGCAAGTTGTCCATTGCTTCCTGACCAATTGACAGGAGTCTAATAGCAATGGGTTTAGAGCACTACCTCCACCTAGTGGCCGCCCTTGACTGGGACGGTTCTTTGGTAATTTGACTTAGTATCACATTAATAGTTCATTTATGACTACTGTAGGTAACAAATTCAATAATATAACATTGAATAATTAGACTAATGATCATTGCATTTGTCCCCAAATCTCATTTTATAATTTAGCATATAGCTGGGCATGGTGACCCACACAGGAGACCAACCTGATCTACATAGTGAGTTCCAGGCTACCCAGGGCTAGAGGGAGATCCTGTCTCAACCAACCAACTAAACACAAACACACAAACAAAAAACCCAAACAATAACAAACAACAAAAACAAATACCTCAGTGCTCTTCTGCAATAACAATAAAAATTCACCTATTTTACATTTAGTGAATGAATATAAGATAATAAGCACAAGACAAGTACATAGTGAGCAAATTAGGTTCCTGTTAGAAAATGCTGTAAGTATATTTCTAATCTTGTTCAGGATTTTGTACTTCTACGGTTCATTTAACAATGTAATGCAATTTGCTAATCCTTGAATATTATTATTACCAACTATTAGGATATAAATAAATGAAAGTTAGTAGTTAGACATTGCAATTGAACTTGTAGTCATATTAGGTGTGTTTTCAAGGTCGAGCAGATATATTTTAGATACACAGGTCATCTTCAAACCTTTCAGAGATCTACAGAATATGGCATTTAAAATGTTTTAATAACTAGAATTTTTTTTTTTCTTTTTTGTTATGACTATGAGACATGTTGGCTCCTGGCAGCAACAATCTACTTCAGAGATACATGGGCATTGAAGAAACTGCATATGAAGTTAACTTTCATTGTGGCAAAAGTTAGCCACTGGACAACAAAGTGTCCTCGAATCAACTGCTGACAAACAGGACAAAATGGACAGACAGGACATGAAACAAAGGACTACCGATTCTTGTCAAGACAAGTGTGGTTGTGTCTTCAGCAATAGGCATCCTCTGAGGCCAGGACAGTATGGCACCATCGCCGAAGTGGGCTTCGCAATCCGGAAAAGGTACAGTGCCCTTTTCTTCGAAGGCAGATGAACAGGCAGTGGGCCGATGGCTTCTGATGTGCAGTGGAACAGCAGCTGAAGCAATTATTCTTGAAAGAGTAACTAAGCTGACAGAGTCTAACCTCTCAATGGTAGACTGGCATTTAATAAAAGAGATGAAACCACCCACAAGCTAAGAAGAATGGACAGCTGAATTCCAAAAACATCAACAATTTCCAGAATTTAAAATCCTGAATCACGACAGGACACTAGTGGAATTCAGGTGTTTCTGGTACATGGACTACTTGCACTAAATGTGAGGTCGAACTGTAGGCCTTGAGTACATCCTACATCAACAAATGAGTCTGTCAGATATGCTAAGCCTATAGGCTGAAGATGATGCCCCAACGTTTCTAAGAAACCTCTGGTGACTGTCCAGGCGGCTGGCTGTTTCTGTCAACTCACATTTATTTTGGAAGCTGCTTGCTTACACTTCCTGTTTTATTAGGTAATATTATTTCCTCCTTGGGTCTCTGAGGGAGTTGAAGATTGATAGTTATAGTTAGTTGAAGATTAGATAGTTATAGCTTTCCTTGTTAAGAATTTCAGAAAAGAAACTCACTAAAGAGATGTAAGTGTATAAATTTGAAAGACATTATAAGATAGTTCTCTGTTAGTAATATAAGTTAGGATAGAAAATGATTCAGATACATTACTTACCAAATAGGATAGATAATGGAATATTTTCTCTGAGTTTGTCAAATGCAAATGGACTAGACATTGTTGAGGTATTTATTGCTTGTATATATTGTATATAGCTATTGTACTTATTGTATATAATTTTTCTTATATTAGTTATAACCTTTTTCTTTTTATTAGAATAAAAAGGGGAAATGTGATATTTTATTTGTGCTGAAATGTGATATTGGTATGTTAATAAATAAAGTTTGCCTGGAGATCAGAGGTCATAGCCATAAATAGAAGTCAGGCAGTGGTAGCACATGCCCTTAATCTGATCACATGGCAGGCAGAGTCTCTGTGTGTTCAAGGACACAACCAAGCATGGTGACATGCATTTTAAATCCCAGTACCAGTCATAGAGACCTGGAGGTCTGTATAGACAGGCAGTGATGAGGAAGTGATGTGGCTGGGTTTAGAGCTAATGAGAAGGCAGAACAGGAAGGCAATAAAAGCACAGTTTAGACAGGAAGAAGCTCTCTCTATGGAAGCTACTTCATGGTGGTAAGCTAAGGCTAGTTGTGGTTATTTGCTCTGATCTCTTCAGCTATCAGCTGCATTTGGCTCTGTATTTCTTATTTAATATGACTGTTTAGAAATTTGTCTACATTTGGTGCCCAACGTGGGTAAGAATTTGTACTAAAAATTAGAGCAATGGGAAGTGGGGCATGTTGTGATTTTAAATATGACATTTGAGTGAACATGTTAAACAAGTTATTTCTGTGTGGTTGTCTCAAGAACAAAAATCCCAAGTTTTCCAATATAAGTATATTGTGAGCATGATTTTATAGTTCTACTTCCTCTAAGGTCACTCTTTAAAATATACTTAATTTGCTGGGCGGTGATGGCACACGCCTTTATTCCCAGAACTTGGGAGGCAGAGCCAGGTGGATCTCTGTGAGTTTGAGGCCAGCCTGGTCTACAGAGCGAGATCTAGGACAGGCACCAAAACTACACAGAGAAACCCTGTCTTGAAAAATACCAAATATATGTATGTATGTACATTGAATGTATTTATGTACAGTTGGTGAGTGTAGGAGCCCACGGAGGTCAGAAGAGAAATCCAATTCCCTGGAACTGGAGTTACAGACAGTTGGGAGCTACCATGTGGGTGCTGAGAATCAAACCTGGGTCCTCTGCAAGAGCAGTAACAGATTCTAACTGCTGAGTTGTTTCTTTAGCCTCAAAGACTACTCTTTATTGTGGAAGTTTTGAAAAACAGAGGTTCCAAAATTTGCCTACAGGGTCTTATTTTCATAGTAGTTTTATAGTGATGTCTTTCTGTAGCTGAAAGTTTTCCTGTGTCCCACCTGGTCCAAGGTCAGGACAAATCTCTCACCTGCCAGTCCCGCAGCCGCTCGGACCCAAATAAACATACATAGGCTTATATTAATTATAACTGCTCAGCCATTAGCTTAGGCCTACCACTGACTAGCTCTTACACTTAAACTCAGCCCGTTTCTGTTAATCTGTATGTTGCCATGTGTTCTGTGGCTTTACCTGTGTGCCATTACATGCTGCTCCCTGGATGGCAGGCTGGCATCTCCTGACTCAGCCTTTCTCTTCCCAGAATTCTCCTTGTCTGCTTATCCCACCTATACTTCCTGCCTGGCTACTGGCCAATCAGTGTTTTATTAAACCAGTGTACAAAAGCATTATCCCACAGCATTTCCTCTTTTCTGTTTAATTAAAAAGGAAAGTTTTAACTTTAACACAGTAAAATTATATATAACAAACAAAGAACAGGAAAATTTTCAGCTACACCTTTTCTTTCTTTCTTTTTTTTTTGAGACAAGGTCTCTCTATGTAGCCCTGGCTGTATTGGAACTCACTCTGTAGACCAGGCTGGCTTTGAACACAGAGACCCATCTGCCTCTGTCTCCCAAGTGCTGGGATCAAAGATGTGTGCTGCCCATCCTTTATAGTGATGTCTATTAGTTGACTTACAAATGTGGCATAGTTTTCCTTTTGGCCTCTTTTAAAGAAAATCCATACCCTCAGGTATTTTCTGCAATTGTACTCAAAGATAAATCTATAAGAGCACAGGTTTGAAGTAGCAATAACCAAGACCTGCCAAGTGTAGCAACTCATGTTGGAGAGCAGGTGGGGAAGAATGGGGGAGGTCAGTGGAATCATAAGCCTGCTTCATGTGTGAAGCATGCAAAGACAAGGCAGTCTTTACAAATAACCTTCAAAAGGCTCAGGTGTTGAAATGGCATTGACTGGTAAAGTGTCATGTGCTCTTTAAGCTGAAGCTGGAGGCAGGGCTGGCTGAACTCCTTCAGGGTCAACCATCCTAAAACTCCCCCCTCTCCCTTGTGTTGGGTGAGCCTGGTCCGTGGCTCTGCAACCCCAAGAGAGAAGCAGAAAGGAACAAACAAACAAACATAAAAACAAAACAAAAATTGCTGTGTCCTTGAGAACAGCTAGAAAGGGAGGCATTTTTAACAGAAGTTACTAGTGTTTACTCCATGTTATAAAAAAACGCCTAGAACGAAAGTGGAAAGCCAGCCATGCAGCCATGGGAAGCTCATCAGTGGATGGATGCCACCAGCCATGCAGCCATGGGAAGCTCACCAGTGGATGGATGCCACCAGCCATGCAGCCATGGGAAGCTCACCAGTGGATGGATGCCACCAGCCATGCAGCCATGGGAAGCTCACCAGATGGACGCCACCAGCCATGCAGCCATGGGAAGCTCACCAGTGGAACGGATGCCGTGCTCTTGGAATTCTCAATGGTGACATCTGGCTTTGCTTTCGGGGCTGGCCCAGTTGGTTTCTGCTGGATGACTGCAAGAGCCTGACTCGATGGTGTCTGTATCTGCTGTCATTTGTTCTTTTACACGGAAGCCCCACCTAAGGGGACACTCAGGAACTCCAGGTGGTTGCTTCAGTGAGGATTCTCGCTGACTTCTGCTGGATGTTTAAGTTCCTCATTGGATGCTACCTACCTTTTGTTTGCTCTCTCAATTGGGCGGCCCCAGTTGCCTCTGCTGGATGTCGTGAGCATCTTGAACTGATGTTTTATTATCTGTTGCTTCTATCGCCTCCAGGCTATTTAATGTCTTACATTTGCTTATTGTATACTTAACAAACTCATTTGTGGCTACCGTAGATCACTCTCCAGACCTCCCTCACAGGTGTCTAGGTAGAAATTCACTTTCTGGGACAATTTTTCCTCCGCAAGGAATGTTTCTGGGAATCTAGGACTTTGGGTGATGATGAGGGTGTTGGAAGATTTAATTCAACATCTATATAGTAAATTTAAGTAAAAAGCAAAATAGACACTCTTGGTAGGAATGTAAAGTATTATAGCCATTGTGGAAAACAGTGTGGAGGTTCTCAAAAAATAAAATAAATACTGTAGTATTCACTTTGGGGTATTTATCCAAAGAATATTAAATCAGTATGTCAAACAGATACGTGTACGCATATATATGTATAGTATATATATATATATATAGTATATACATATCAAAACATCACATTGTGCAGCATACATATGATTTTGTCAATTAAACCTTAGTAATGCTAGACCAAATCTCATGCAGTTCATAAACTTCCAAATAGATGAAAATTTCCATGATTAATAAGAACATAATACACGAAATTTACATTTGGAAGAAAACCTAAAAAGTGCTGCCATTTCCGGCGAAAACTCAAGACTTTGAGATACTACTACTTTTCTACGTTTTTAGGAACTTAAAAGAAAAATGCGCCAATTTTGTGGTTGCCGTTCATTTCTTGCATTTGAAGTACTCTTCAATGAGATCTTTGGCCTGAGAGTCTTTCCCATAGTTCTTCACCACCACACAGCTGCAACCTATCACTTTACGGGGTCTCCCCTTCCGATCGATTTTGCAGAGGCCTGCCCATTCCCCTAGTTTCCGGCTGTCATCAACCTTCAGGAGGTGGATCCGGTGCTCCGCACAGAGGGACTCCACCAACTTGATGTACATCGGTTTATCACAATTGGTGGCGAGCACGCACAGACGGGCTTGGCCCTTGCCTAAGGCTTTGACAGCTTCGTGAATGCCTCGCGCGAGGCCATCGTGGACCAGGGCGGTCTTCAGCACCTCTCTCAAAGCCGTACTGACGTCCATTGCACTTGCAGCCGCCGCCGCCGCCGCTGCGGTGGTGCCTTCCTTGGCCATGGCGGTGGGTTACAGGTGGGTCCGGCCCCGGGACGCGCGCGAAGCCTCCGAGCCCGTGCGCAGAGGCAAGGCGCGTTGCGCGGGATGTCCGGGGCCACTCAATCCTTCCGAAACCACTCGACAGCTATCGAAAACGACGTTAACTTCCGACCTACGTCGCAGGAGGCAAGGAATTCCCAGTCCTGCGGAGGCGGGAAGGCGGTCAGGTGACCACCTAGGGGACAAAAAATTAGGAGACCTCGGGCAGAGGCTGCTCCGTGTGGGGGGCAGGTAGGGAGGATGGGTGGCTCGCGGGGAGCAAGGGTGAGCTTTCTCGTTATTATTACGTAACCTCGGCTGCTTCTGCGGGAAAGCATCTGCGGGGGGGGAAAAGTGGACGGCCTCCGCCGACCGCACCGGGACCCACAACCACCGCGACGCCGCAAGCTTGCGCCAGCATCCTGTGCCCTCGCTCCATCGATCTCTGCCTCTTCTTTTGCGTTGGCCGATTCGCCACGACTCGGTGTCAGAACTTAACACTAAAACGTGACGGTTTTAATATAGGAGAAGGGCTCACTGTTCAGAAAAGTGGCATCAGGAGACACTCCATTTTGGTTTCTAAAAAAAAAAAAATTTGAGGGGGGCGGGGGAGGACGGGGGTTATCGTTGTGGAGCCCACTTCGGCTCCGCTCAGCACGCTGAGGCTTTGCGTCGAAAACGCCGACGCGGACGCCCAGGCCCGTCGTGCCCCGGCGGCGCGCAGGCGCAGTAGCCTCTCGCCCCCCCCAGGTCCCGCCCCCCCTCCCCCCCTCCGGGTGGACGACGTGGAAGTTGCTGGCCGACCTGGCTCGGAGGCGTCCGCCTGGGAACCCGAGGCCCGGAGCGGCGGAGGTGGCGGCGCCCAGGCTCGACTAGGACTCGCTGCCGAGTCCCGGCCTGACTCTGGGGATCGGCGAGGGCGCGGCGGCGGCGGCTCATCATGGGTGAGGAGCGTGGGGGAGGGCGGCGGGCGGCCGCGGCGGGGGGGGGGGGACAGCCGCAGGCCACGGGCGACGGAGCCACCGTCACCTGCCCGGGGGACCCCGCCCCCCCCGGGGCCCGGGTCTCTCCCCGTCACCCCGCGCGTCCCCGGCTCGGGTGGCTGGGAGGAGCGGGGGCGTCGGGCGCCCGGCCCCTCGGGGGTGGCTTCTGCGTGGGCGTTGGGACTGCGTCACTTTGAGAAAAGCCCAGGCCAGGTGCTGTCGTGGCTCCGGGCGCTGCTCGCCTGCTCGCCGGCCGGCACGGTTGGTGGCATTGCGAAGTGGGAGGTCAAGAGCCGGCCAGTGCGTGGGTTTTTTTTTTTTTTTTTCCATCGCGATTCGCCCGATTTGCTGTTCCCCGGGTGAGGGAACGCCAGCAGCGGCCCCAGCGCACCCCTAAGGTGACGCCCCCAGGACAGCTGGAGCCTCTAGGGAGTTGCTGTCTTTCAGTCCTTCCGCAGTTTTCTCACCAGTGACCCCGAGCATCCTAATTCTGTTGGGTTGCCTGTCTGCCTTCAGTGTTGGTTTTCCGCCTCCCTTCTACGTGTAAAGGGTTGAAAGGACTTTGTCGGGTCACACCCATTCTTTCCCCAAGGTTCTGTGTACAGTGTGACATCTCTTCTTCCTGTCTTCGTCCCTTCTCCTTTTCCGTGTGTCCGTGTGCGTGTGCGCGCACGGGCTATGTGGATTGAAGTCTGCCTTGAGCATGCTAGGCAACGCCCTGCTGCTGAGCTGAAGGCCCAGCCCTTTTAAAACTTTGAGACAGGCTCTCACTAAATTGTTTAGCCTTGAATTCAACTCATGCTGTAGCCAACTCAAGACTCACGGTGCTTTAGCCTCCTTAAGTAGCTGGTACTATTACAGGCTTGGACCACTAGCCAAAGGCCTTGCCTTTTATTTTTAAGATTAAATATATCCTGTACGTATTGCATATTGAGCATATTCTCCTTTATATTCCTCCACTTTTCCCTTTTCTCACTTTATATTGTGAATCTTTTTTTTTTTTTCTTTAGTGACTTTTGAAGGCAAAGAGTTTGTGCCACAAATACTTTTATGTTGCAGGGTGACTTGGGTACATAATGTTTCCTGGAAATATTTCATAAAATATTGGATGAGTCTTACTGTCTCAAATGAGTTTTCTAATGCATTCAGGAAACAGAGGCAGGTGGATCTCTATGAGTTCAAGGCCAGCCTGGTCTACACACTGATTTCCAGGTCAGCCTGGGCAACAAAGTGAGACCCTGTCTCAAAAAATACTCCCCCCAAATAATAATAAAATGACTTTTCCACAGTAGCTGTTATTAGAAAAACAAATCAGCAACAAAATGTATTTTGTCTTGTGTGGCCATCAGAGTCTCTTGTGGTAGTTTTGTGGGTTAGTGGGAGTGCACCAAAGGCGCTGGTACTGCATGTCCTGCATGTCCTGCATGCCCTGCATGTCGGATTAGTGTATCTTCTGCCTCCTGACAGTACTTGGGACCTGAGAACATCACTTAGTACTTGTTTGCTGTTGAATAATGTATTTCATTGGAAGCAAAAGTGTCTACCTGTGCATCCAGGGAGATGTTTTGCTATTCGATTAGGCATGTAGCTTTCAAAAGGCAAGGTTAAATGTTCTATGGCCCTAATTTAAAAGATGACATTAAGTACGTTTTTGTTTTTATTCTCTTGTAGGTGGCTTTTTCTCAAGTATTTTTTCCAGTCTCTTTGGAACCAGGGAAATGAGGATTTTAATTTTGGGATTAGATGGTGCTGGGAAAACAACAATTTTGTACAGATTACAGGTTGGAGAAGTTGTTACTACTATTCCCAGTAAGTACTGGTTTGATAACTCATTATAGAACTTTTCTGGTTTCTGTCTAATACAATTTTCTGAATAGATTAGTCATATGATAGGTTGATAGGGGTTTGTAAATTTTTTGTTAAAAAATGATACTGACAAAACTTTTTTATGAAGTAAGAAGCATTTTGATGTACTTGGTTCCTATCCAGGCAGGCAAACATGTCTGTTTAGAGCTGTAGTTGGCTTAAGTCACTAAATCTTTATGCTTAATGAAGATACTAAATATCTACTGGCTTTGACCAGTAAGTAAATGAAATGTACAAGGTACTTTGCTAACTTTGTAATGAATATAGAGATGTTAAATTGGTGTTGTTGTATATAGAGTACATTTTTCTGCATCTTTTTTTTTTTTTTTTTTTTTTTTTTTTGGTTTTTCGAGACAGGGTTTCTCTGTGTAGCTTTGTGCCTGTCCTGGAACTCACTTGGTAGCCCAGGCTGGCCTCGAACTCACAGAGATCCGCCTGGCTCTGCCTCCCGAGTGCTGGGATTAAAGGCGTGCGCCACCACCGCCCGGCTATTTTTCTGCATCTTTTTATTACTTGAATCACAGTGTAGTTTCTCCTGAGTAATTCTGTAGATCACTTTTAAAGATGGGAATTGTAGAGGCTGAATGTTGAAATGACCGGGTTACCTGAAAACTAAGAAGAAACACCTGAACTTTAACTCTGTTCATAGCCTTGTTATTCTTGCTGTCTTAGAAAATTATTTGCAAATAGTCCTGTCTTACTACATAGGGATGCTGTTGATGTTTATACTTTTTCCGTTGTTGAACTAAATTTATAGAGTAATTCATTTAAATTAAATTGAGGAATCCATATAATTTGTTCAAGATTTTTTTTTTTTTAGATTTATTTATTGTGTATTATGCATACAGTGTTCAGCCTGTGTGCCAGATCTCATTACAGATGGTTGTGAGCCACCATGTGGTTGCTGGGAATTGAACTCAAGATCTCTGGAAGAGCAGCCAGTGCTCTTAACCTCTGAGCCATCTCTCCAGCCCATTTGCTCAAGATTTTAAACTGTGTTCTGAATGACTGTCGTTTTGTCAGTAACCCTTCCAGGATTGTTTGTTTTGCGTTTATGGAAGAAGGTTTGGGTTCTGTAGCATCCGTTATTTCCTTTTGCAGTTTTCTCTGCCCATTTCATTTCCTTTGACTCGCATTTCTCAGACTCTCCCCTCTCTGTCTGGGTAGCTTTTGGTGACGTCACTTTGCAATCCCAGTCCACACAGTGGGTGGACTGCAGTGTAGGCTGCTGTCACCCCTGCCCTTTGCACATGAACACTGCTCTTGATGGTGAGGAACAGAGCTGCGTCCGTCCAGTTCTGAAGGAGAAGGAACTTGGTTTTCAGTGTGTTACGTTTGCTGTGGTTTTATTTTTCCGTTGTAATGTGCATACTTGCCCACCAAATACATCATCTACCAACACAACGTTAATAGGGAACAAAAATCAGTGGTTACTGGAAGTCGTTTTTCACTCTGACTTTTTTTTTTTTAAAGCTTAGGAAATGTGAGCAAACTTTGTACATGTCCAGGCTAAGTCTTTTAAGCATCATTTTCTCCCTCGTTTAGACTCCTTTTCTCTGAAAGTAGTATCTGGTCTCAGCCGTGTGGTGCCAGAGCTATACCGAGGAAGGATGGTAGACAGAAGGGGTGAGATATAGACCATCCCAGTTGTGACCTTGTTACAAGTGAGCTGTTGAGATGTCTGCAGAGGGTCTGTAAGGTTGCCACCCACAGAGAACGTGGCTCCTATAAAGTCATTGCTGTGTCCTCATTGAATTTTAGTTTTTAATTATAAGTCTTTCATTATAATTTTAGTTTTTACTATCTTCCAGAACTTCAGCTCTTATATCTATAACTGTACTTTTCAAATAAAACTTTCTGAAGATGCTGGGCGGTAGTGGCGCACGTCTTTAATCCCAGCACTTAGGAGGCAGAGGCAGATGAATCCCTGTGAGTTTGAGGCCAAACCTGGTCTAAAGAGTAAGTTCGAGGACAGCCAGAGCTGTTATATACAGAGACCCTGTTTCAAATAAACAAACAAGCAAAAACCTTTCTGAACACTTGTATGCTAGTACTCAGGGAAGTTTAATAGACCGCTAGGACTGGGGAAATTGCTCAGTAGGTAAAATGCTAAGGACAAGAGTTCAGTCCCTAGGGCTTATATAAAAACAGACTGCATGTGGTGGATGCCCAGGGCTCGATGGCCAGCCGGCCTAGCCTCCTTGGCTAGCAAGAAACACTTGTCTCAAAAAAAAAAAAAAGGTGGGCAGTGACCGAGGAACAGCACAGTGTTGTCTTTGTCCCCTGGCTTACATACTCTCACACACATGGGTGCCAGCAGTTGTGTTAATAACATGCACAGAGTGGTCACGAGGTTTTTTTGTAACCTGAAGGTGGTGCTGATCTTGTTAATTTTGTGTGTGTGTGTGTGTGTGTGTGTGTGTGTGTGTGTGTGTGTGTGAATATGTGTATCATAGTATATTGTCTTAAATGTTATAATAACCCAGCCCATAATGTTTGAAAATTAACAGCAGTTGCTAAAACTCAGTGAAGTTGGAGACTTTGTAAAGGGAGAGTGTGTTAGTCTATAGTCTACATCTACTATTGATTTGATTTCTCTTTCAGCTATTGGATTTAATGTAGAGACGGTGACATACAAAAACCTCAAATTCCAAGTCTGGGACTTAGGAGGACAGACAAGTATCAGGTATGCTGTAAACACCAGGTCATTTGGTCGTGCTTAACATATACTGGCTCTTTTTAGTGCTGACAATACTAAACCAAAATACATCTCTGTTGCAGATTAGATAGGGGTCCGGTTGTTTAAATGAAGTGGGATTTGAAACTAGGAATTTCCTTAGAGCATCCAGTAATTAA